ACAGCCACTCACAATGAGGTTACAACCTCTCACAATGAGGATACAGCCTCTTACAATGAGGATATAACCACTAACAATGAGGATACAGCCTCTTACAATGAGGATATAACCACTAACAATGAGGATACAACCTCTTACAATGAGGATATAACCACTCACAATGAGGATACAGCCGCTCACAATGAGGATACAACCTCTCACAATGAGGATACAGCCACTCACAATGAGGATACAACCTCTCACAATGAGGATACAGCCTCTTACAATGAGGATATAACCACTAACAATGAGGATACAGCCTCTTACAATGAGGATATAACCACTAACAATGAGGATACAGCCTCTTACAATGAGGATACAACCACTCACAATGATGATACAACCTCTCACAATGAGGATAGGGCCACTAACAATGAGGATACAGCCACTCACAATGGGGATACAACCACTCACTATGACGATACAACCACTCAAAATGAGGATACAGACACTCACAATGAGGATACAGCCACTCACAATGAGGATACAGCCACTCACAATGAGGATACAGCCACTCACAATGAGGATACAACCACTCACAATGAGGATACAGCCACTCACAATGAGGATACAACCACTCACAATGAGGATACAACCACTCACAATGAGGATACAGCCACTCACAATGAGGATACAGCCACTCACAGTGAGGATACAACCTCTCACAATGAGGATACAACCACTCACAATGAGGAATTTAACAACTCACAATGAGGATAAAACCTCTCACAATGAGGATACAGCCACTCACAATCAGGATACAAACACTCACAATGAGGATACAGCCACTCTAAATGAGAATACAGCCACTCACAATAAGGAAACAACCACTCACAATGAGGATACAACCACTCACAATGAGGATACAGCCACTCACAATGAGGATACAGCCAATCACAATGGGGATACTGCCACTCACAATGAGGATACAAACACTCACTCACAATGAGGATACAGCCACTCACAATGAGGATACAGCCACTCACAATGAGGATACAAACACTCACAATGAGGATACAGCCACTCACAATGAGGATACAGCCACTCACAATAAGGATACAGCTACTCACAATGAGGATACAACCACTCACAATGAGGATACAGCCACTCACAATGAGGATACAGCCAATCACAATGGGGATACTGCCACTCACAATGAGGATACAGCCACTCACAATGAGGATACAGCCACTCACAATGAGGATACAACCACTCACAATGAGGATACAGCCACTCACAATGAGGATACAGCCACTACAGCCATTCACAATGAGGATACAGCCACTCACAATGAGGAATTTAACCACTCACAATGAGGATACAGCCACTCACAATGAGGAATTTAACCACTCACAATGAGGAAAAAACCACTCACAATTAGGATACAACCGTTCACAATCAGGATACAGCCACTCACAATGAGGATACAGCCACTCACAATAAGGATACAGCTACTCACAATGAGGATACAACCACTCACAATGAGGATACAGACACTCACAATGAGGAAACAACCACTGACAATGAGGATACAGCCATTCACAATGAGGATACAACCTCTCACAATCAGGATACAGCTACTCACAATGAGGATACAACCACTCACAATGAGGATACAGACACTCACAATGAGGAAACAACCACTCACAATGAGGATACAGCCACTCGCAATGAGGATACAGCCACTCACAATGAGGAAACAACCACTCACAATGAGGATACAGCCACTCACAATGAGGATACAAACACTCAAAATGAGGATACAGCCATTCACAATGAGGATACAACCACTCACAATCAGGATACAGCCACTCACAATGGCGAACAGCCACTCACAATGAGGATACAACCATTCACAATCTCAGCTGCTCAATTGAACTAACAATATTAAAATATTTATCTATTTACAACTATTCATCAAAATTTATTTCTTTAAAAAATTCGGTAATTGAATTATAATTAACATTGAAAAGATCCTTCACTGTTTTGACATTGAAATATTTATCACTTGTGATGGAACAATCCATACAGTCAAGCAGGCCATGCTGGACCGTGATTCTTTCATCACAAGGGATACAAAATGGAGGATCCTCACCTTATTTGAATAGGTATTCATGAGTATATCTAGCATGGCCAATACGACATCGTCGCATAATGACCTCCTCAAATTCAGACTGACAGCCAAAGTAGGTGTAACAATATAGGGTTTTATTTCATGTAATTTATTTATACCTTGGGTGCCCAAATTCTTTTGCATCAGATCACGGATATAAAGATAGCTTTATAATCAGAGCGTGTAATAGGAAGTGGTGTCACAGATTTGTTGAGTGCTGACTTAGCAGCAAGATCGGCCATTGTGTTCCCAGAAATGCCAGTGCGGCTGGGTAACCAACAAAAGACCACGTCATATTGGCCAGTAGCAAGATCATTATATAATTCAATAATTTCAATTAAAAGTGGATGTTTGTCAGAAAGATTCTTAATGGCCTGAAGGCACGAAAGACAGTCTGAAAAGATTGTATATTGCTTGTATTTGAGGTGTCTTTGAATATATTTTAAGGCTTAATCAATGTAGATAACAGTACAATATGAAACACGGGGCATAGATCACCAGCAACTGAAGGCTGATCACCATACTAAGATTTAGCTGGATTTACATAAACCCTTCAGCCATTGGCGATTGTTATCAAAATTAGCCATATATCACAATAACACACATTCTACGATTAAAATCATGTGGTATGGAAAAGACTTGGGACTTACATACCTTCTCAGGGGGACAATAATTTACGCTTCTTCAAAACCCTTTGAAGGGTACCTCAATGGACTACGGGTACCTGAATGTTTGATTACCTTGACAGACTGTGGTCATTTGACTAGATTACACATCTATGGCCTTCAGTTGCATTATTGCACAATGCAATCAACCAGACTGAACCGTACTCAACAGGGATAACCACACCACAATGAAGAGTAATTACAAGGTCTTTTAGTCTGAATACCAATATCCAAATGAGCAGCAATTAACAGCAATTCATCAAACAGCAGTTACCGGGTGGAACCATACGTCAGTTACGATAATTTAACACGCAGAACCACGCCTCAATTACCCGTATTTGACAGGCTGAACCATAACTCAATAACCTGTATATAACACGTAGAACCATACCTCAATTACCTCTATGTAACACGGAGAATTATACCTCAATTACTTGAATGTAACACGTAGAACCATACCTCAATTACCTGTATGTAACACGTAGAACCATACCTCAATTACCTGTATGTAACACGTAGAACCATACCTCAATTACTTGTATGTAACACGTAGAACCATACCTCAATTACTTGTATGTAACACATAGAACCATACCTCAATTACCTGTAGTTTACACATAGAACCATACCTTAATTACCTGTAGGTAACACGTAGAACCATAACTCAATTACCTGTATGTAACACGTAGAACCACAACTCAATTACCTGTATGTAACACGTAGAACCATAACTCAACCCAACCTAAATCAACAAGGAGAATCATACTTCAGTGAACTAGTAAGTAGCCTGATAAACCATACTCGAATGAACTTTACACAACAAGGCGAGGTATGTTTCGATGGGGCCAAATACAGTAAAATATGGCGCTCAAGAGAATGATCCTTTCATTGCGAAATGACTACACCTGTGATGTGTTCCAACAATAATTTTGTGTGTGTGTGCGTGCGTGTGTTCGTGCGTGCTTGCGTGCTTCAGTGAGTGAGTGAGTGCGTTTAACCATACCTGAATAAAGTACTGAGAGTGGAACATATAAGAGAGCACTATGAAATTTAGACTCTGTCGGTGACAATTTCCATTGTACAAATGAATGGTGCTACCTTTTATACGATGTGACAATTCTGGTTGACTTCTGAACTGATCCATCCACAGAGTACTGGATGGCAGTAGCTCTGTTGTTCCAGTCGTAATAGAAGTCAGCTTTGATCGAAAATGAAAAAAAGAAGACGAGTGACTGTTCATGTTAATATCCAACGTGGGGAGGAAGATTTTCAGTTTGAACAATTCATTTTTTCTTGATCTGAAAATACAAAAAAAAATATCAATAAATATAAAGTACAAAACCTTTTCCACTTTCGTAAGGAATTTCTGCTAAAAGAAAAGTCTATTGTACAATTCTGACTATATCATAAGCATGTGCTTGTTGGAGGCAGTATTACAGCTGTAAATATTCCAGTCTTTACCAGTCAATCCAGTGATTGATACTATGAACTTTCACGACGTCAACTTATGATCAAGAGTCGTCTGACTCTCTTTGAAATTTTGGTGAAAAGAGCATATTCAACATAAGAGGGAAGTTACTCTTGGAAAGTTGAAATCATCCCTTTTTCAAACTGCCTTGTGGAGAGTTTTTGTCATTCTGAATCTTTTTGCATAGATATAAATATGACACAGTTGTCCCCTTAATTTCAAGTTTGATCATGCTGCAAAGCAGGATCTATATTGTGGAACAAACAAACTTCAACATTACAAGTTCTGAATTGAAAACCCTTCAAAAGAACATACGGCTAATATAAGCGCCTTTGAGCAGTTTTCTGGATTAGGAGCTATAGAAATGCCAAACATATTATTATTTGTTTTCATAGCACAAATAGCTGCCCTTCATTACTGTTGGTAAAAACCGATTCTGACTATGACCTGTTCATGACATGACCGATTGTTCCAATGTTTAGCATCATAAGCAACCTCCGACCATTGCTTTTGAGCTATTAAGTCGTCCTGTGAGACAGGCGAAGACAGCACACACACATACATGCAACGATATTGTTGTAAAACACCAGTTTGACCACACTGAACTTTAGACATGTAGAAGACATTGTAAACGTTTGTTCCACAGATGTCATCACTAGAAAAGGTAGCGCCTCTTATGGTGTTGTCCTGGTAATGGAAAACAGAACTTGCCATACTCCAAAGAATATTTATTGATTTAATGACAAGTCAAGTGAAACAGACAACAATCGGATCTACAAGTTCAAGTGCAGCGTCACATTTTAACAGTTGAGGGGGACGCCGAAAGCATCTGGGTCCGTGGTGCCTGTTTTATATCCGTTGAAGTATAGTTTCGTATCTGGAGCTGAGGAAAAACAGAATGTTTCAAAGTAATTCCAATCCATGTTGAGCGGAACATGATTTAAAGCAGAACAACAGGATATTCGATTTTGATTGGTCACTCCGAGTTTTCCTAAAACTTAAAACTGGCACAAATCGAATCTCATGCCTTGGTGGCTGCATTACCATAGTGGCTAATATATATTGCAGTCTATTGCAAATCTATTGGTAAACTCGCTACACAGCCCTCCGAAATAACAGCAAGGCAATATTTCATTACTTTATCGAAATCTGAACATCAAACTGGCTCGATTTTGACTGCTTCATACCAGTTGATTGTACTCACACTGTCTCATAGTGACCTTTTACCGTCGAGTCAGGTGATAGAGGCCCCCTGTTTCTGCACCCAAGTCGGTCTTTGTAAAGGATCTACTCACGACTCGCTCCCAGGTTGAAGGTCCCCAAGAAGGTTAAGACACAGTCTGGGTCGGTGACGCCCACGGTCAGGTTGATAGAGCCGATAGTTATCAACCAGTTGTCGGATTTCATCTCGCTTCCCTCAGTACCAATATAGCTTGAGCCAAGGTCTGTACTGCCGTCTACACAGAAAGAGACCATTGACATGTGTCAGTTTAAAATGAAAGAAAAGACGATAGTCATGCTGATGAGGCCCTGCTTGTGTTTTTCAGCAGAACAATTGCCTTTGTATGTGTGTAATGGTTGCCTGATGTAGGAGCTCTTCAGGAACACCTGGTATCAGAACTATTTGATAGTGATCCATAAACACATTGTCATCCCCTTAATACTTTCGATACCATGCAATCGACTTTGTTATTGTCGGATAATTCTAGTGACTATGGAAACCAGTTATGGTTATCATCCAGGTGCCGGGTTTCATTTAGTTTGCTTCAGTGTCAGTATAGCTTGAGCCATGGAGCGTACTGCTGTCTACACAAAAGGAGACCACTGAAATGTTACTGTAACTACACACACATGATCTGTTAGGTTTGGGTATTTCGCCTCTTGTAAAAGCATTTTAGTTGTGAGTAGGTTGTCTACACGGAAGGAGACCATTGAAGTTTTAGTTGTGTGTCAGTTTCAAATGAGAGAAAAAACGACAGTTATTTAGATGAAGTCTTGTACAATTCCCAATTATTGTGATCTGCTCTTTCAGCTGAATGATTGTCTTGCCTTTGCATGTGTTACATGGATGCTAGACGTGGGATAGAATGCGTTTACCTTTTCAGGAACCTCTGGTATCAGAACTATCTAATATAATCATAAGGACATAATAATCGTCTACATCATTTCGTAAGCAAAGAGTGTTATTCTGACCTAGACATATGTTTGACATAGGACAGGAGTGAGGTAGGAAAGGCTGGGAACATGAAGTTAGAAACGGATTGGGGATTGGGGATTCGAATCCCGAATCTGAATATTTTTTCCATATTCGGGATTCAAAACTCAGATTTTAGGTTCATATATCGGAAACTGTAGTTAGGTTGTTTATGTTTTTAAGTTACCCAGGTATACAACGCGCACCTAGTACATTAGAATGGGGATGTAATATAAGAGTTCAAATACCGAATGCCCAGTGTCGCATGTGCAAAAATACCGAATCTGAATCAAATTCAGATTCTGGATTCGAATCCCGAATGTGAAAAACATATTCAGATTCGGGATTCGAATCCCAATCTAAACCCGAATCCGTTTCTAACTTCATGTTGCTGGAAAGGCTCACCTCTTCGCGAACACCTAGTTTTATCACTATTTGACCACAGGAATCATTTATATAAATTACATACACAAAGAGCACTGTTGACAAGAGTCACTTACCTGGGATGCAGAATGGCAGGAGGACGTCATTTGGGGCGTCTTTTGTACATGTTCCATCGGCCAATATGGTGTAGCGTTCGTTCTGCAAAAACAAAACCAAATATTTTAAACAATCCTGAAGGTATTGGAATTGTGTTGTACACAAAACCACAGTGAATCAGATTTGTTGTAACAATTGACAAATGGGGCCCTGGTTGGGCGATACCTGACAGCATGGTACCTCGATGGACTGAAGGTACCTGGATGGTTGATAACCTAAATAGGGCAGGACACAAACCTGATATTCCTTCAAAAACCATTTGTTATCTGAGAGAGGTATACACAATCTATACATAAAATGAAAGCTTGTGATGTGAGCATTAAGAAAAAAATGATGTGGTGAAATTTTTGTGGACATTTTCTTATAAAAACGTTTTTATGTCAAACCAATAAAGTCTGTAGAGAAACTCTGCCGTAAAATGAGTCATCATGAAAACAGTACTACCAGTACTTCCTGCAGTCTGCTGAGACCACTTCCTGTCCTAGCAGTGTTGACATTTGGAACTTGGCAGCTTGTTAGGTCTTTTTCCAAAGACAAATCTTCAGATTTTTTCAATATCATTGTTGAGGTAAGTTGTTTTCTAATTGTGTACATTTCCACAGAACCTTATGTTTCAATGATAGAAATGACAGAAGATTACCTGTGGGTAAGTTTTGCACTAATCTTGTTTGAAATGCATTTCAAATAGGTAATTTGTTATTGTACCTGATATTCTACGGTATTTGCATGGCATTTTACATGTTTAAAGTCAACTGTTTCATTGACAGATTTCAAGATAACTAACTCTAAAATTTTAACTGATGAAACTCCTTCAGAGGCCATTTTAAGGATGAAAATATTCATCAAATCCTATTCAGAGAATCTTATGCTTTATCTCTCTATTATTGGTCCAATTATATTTCAGATATTATAAAAATTATGATTTTATGAGGTTTTTGATGAATCTTTTTTAAAGAAGTTTTGAAAACATGTACAGATAATATCCTGAAACCCTGAGAGGGCCACCCTGTATAAAATGCCTTGTCAGTGTAAACATGTGACCTAAGCTGGTTCCCGGCTCCCTTTGCGCGCGCTAACGTTCGACAAAGCTAGGAGCCGGTATAGGCTGCCATTTAAAACGCTCTGCTCGTTTATTTGACGTCACATCCGGATTGGTCAATCTGGATTCCGTCGCGATGAAAGATCTTGGAATCATAAGACTTGAAAAGTGAACGTTGTGCGAGAATTGCACTTACGTGGTCCTGGATCTGCGTATGGCTATAAAATTACATAGAAATGTAAAATATTAAATTTCCTATCCGTTGGTATTAAATATATGTGCACCTACCTCGGCGGTTTGAGAAATAAACACTGTTATATGTTGTCCAAATCTTTGTTATGCGTTAAAAAGCAGTAAATATCTCCGCTTTTGATTGTGTATTGATGAAAGCACTGTGCTACGAATTTTTTTAATTTGGCATCGTTACGGAAAGTGTGAGCAGAAGAAAATACAGCCCTGATATCTGAACGACATAAGTATATATGAAATGGGTGTGCGTGCTTATGCATAACGGTATACGCTCAATCTTAAAATGACTCGCAATAAATGTCGAAAAAAGGATTTTTGTTCTATGACGTCAAACGACGACAGAGGGCAATACACGTATAAAGATAAGGGGTCATAACTCCGACATGCTTAACACTAGGTCAATGTAACTCTGAATACTTGGAGAGGAATTTTTGTGGATATTGACGCTATAGTTTTCGTTATGGTTTGTTCACCATGAACCAAACTATACAAGTACAAAGTTCCACAATGTGAGCGGATATGTTTTGATAGTTGCACAATTCATAAGAAAAAAGATGACAAAGTACTACATGAGAAAGCACGTAATAGCGATTTGGATGGCCCTATCTGATACATAATTTAGTTCTTAGATTCCCATATTCCCCTGTTGGTGTAGATGTATTTTGACTAATTTTGCAATATTATTAATAGAATACTAGCCATATCTTCAAATGTAATGAAATTACTGAAAATAATACAACCACTGGATGCGAGTATTTTGTGACGCAGTTTCATAGGATCTGAAAAGTGAACGTTGCATTGGATCTACGGTCCTCCGACTATAACATTATGTTCAGATGTAGAATACATTTAGATCTGCTGACACTTGTCTAAAAAGTCATTTTCCGCCTTACTACTGATTTTGTGCCAGTGTTGGCACACCTACCCACTCTAAGACACACATACCTTTCTAACGCCATCCGCGAGGAAAGTTTAGAATATTTGCAATACGAGATTTGAATTTGTATGCGTGCCTCGACCGATGTCCACATGTATAAATTACCGGCATATTTGTGTCGTTCATACATCAGAGATGATTTTATTCGCTCACAGTTTTCTGACAAGCTTATAATAAAATCTTTGTCGCATAGGGAAATTTGGGTGTGCATTTAAAAGCGACGGTCCCGTTCACGCAAATAAAACGAATATTTACGTTTACTATTATTTCTCGTGAATATTCATATCAAATATGTACAATAACAGAAAGTAAGATTTTTGAAAAGAAGTTTCCAGAAAATATGAACAATTTATATTTTCAAAGGTCTTTCAAGCGCCTGCATAACCGATTTTTGAAAACGATGCAAAATGTGTTTTGACGTCTTCCGACGAAGGACAGCGCGGTCGTCTAAAAATAGCAACCAATGGAAAATGACATAACATTGTCAATGTTGGCTTTTCGTAGGCCTTCTCAGCCATCGTCTCTTTGGCCTGTACCGGCTCGTATATTGCGATATGCGGACGGGGCCTAGCTTAGTATGTGACCTAAACATGTTAGCAATATTTCCCTACAACTTAATATTACCCGATTGTGACCCTCAACTAAAAACACACACAAATTTTAGCAATAAATATGTTTTGGAAGTGATTTTTAAGGAAGATATGTTGATTATAAAAATGTAAAAATGATAAAATTTCTTTCTTAACGTATATAATTTCCCCAAACATAATTTTTTTTTCATATGTATGATTGTTTCACCAAAAATATAAACACTACCTTATAATTTGACAGGACAATTTCGTCAAAAAATATTTATTAGATTTAATTATATTTATAAACATAGATATAATTCATTGTAATGCATGCTGTCAAAAAATATTTTCACTAAAATACTATTGGAATTTTATTTGAATTTTTTAAAAAAAATATAACAAAAACAGTGATTGCAAAGGTTTTCAAAACTGCGCATTAGATTTCTTTATTTGTTAAACTTTTACCTTTAATAGTTTCACATATATTCTTTTAATTATTAATATCTAGATTTTTAAAATACAATGTACATATTTTTTTAAAATTGCGATCATTTTCATGTAGCATCATAATGAAAGCTTGTATTTTTAAAAAAAGACATTTCCCTTTGTGAAATAGTTTTTCTCTTGTTTTTATTGATACATTACGAATTAAATTAATTTAGTGATTAAACTTAAACTTATACAGATACATAAGTGCCCAATTCTGTCAAGATAGGTCAAGTCCAAAATTGAAGATTTTCATGTACCTTTTAGGTATGTATGTATTTCACAGTAGTTATGCATTCAGTCACTTGTTCAGTGATGAGATCCTAACTATTTTTATATAATGAATTTTAAACATAAAGAAATCCTCTTATTTTGTTGTGTCAAAATGAAATTTTGTGTTTAAAGAAGGGCATTTCTCGTTTCAGAAATGTTGCCTCCTGAAACAATGATATATATATTTTAAATCTTTGAAGATTTCATGTTTTAATTTTTTTTCATTCAGGTATATTTCTGAAAAACTTAAGCAATGTGGCCGAAAGCCAGTGAAGTTAGGACAAGTCCAAAAAAGATCACTCTCTCATGAGCCTTTTAGATATATATATATATATATACATATAGTATCACAGAAGTTACGCATAAATTGACATATTTATTGATAAAATCCTACCTTTATTTGTAAGACAGATTTATTTTAAATGTTGCTCTTAACCCAAATCATAATGACCTTTCATGTTTAAAAAGGAATTCTCTTTATGAGTGAGTTTAGATTTACACCACTTTTTAGCAACATTTCAGCCAGCAATATCACAGCGGCGGCGGACACCTGAAATGGACTTCACACATTCTACCCCCACCACCCACTCTCTTTATGAAAATATGTTCTACTGTTAATAAATGTAAGAAGATTTAAGGATGAAGCTTTCCTTATTTCAAGGTTAACTTCAAAGAGAAATGGACTTTAAAGGGACCAAGTCCAAAAAGAGTAAACATTCATCCGCCGAGTACTGCTTCATAATTAGTGCTGCTCAACAAATTTATCACCTGGAGAAATTACAATCACTGCCCAATTGAGCCAAGACGATGTTTTACCAGACTTGTGCAATTGTTTGGTAAATGATCTTTGTGGTCAGGATTTGCTTTATCATAGATGTTTCTTAGTGAAGATGGGACTGTTCGACTAGTGCATTTGCGCGCAGAAATGGTTTTTAGAAGACCATTATGTCCCGATAGATTGTCATGATGATATCACAATGGCCAAGGTTCTCGCACACTGCCCATGGGATCGAGTTCCTACATTACTTTCAATGACGATGGATCAAGGCGGAAGAGATCAAATGCCGATTTGACAGGACAAATAAGAAGAAATTGTACAGAATGTTTACACTTTGCCAGACTTTGACAAAAAGACACTGTCACATTTGCAGGATACAATGGCAATATTGGTAGAGTATGAAACCTGCCATTCCCTCCGCGTTTGATAGTGTTGCTGACAGTTATATGCGCAAAATATGAGAGCAGAATACATGTCATAGATATGATTCGACCAATTATGACAATCGAGAGCTCCACCTAAGTCGTTCCCGAAGAGCTGTGACCTCCCAACACCGGCAAGAAGAAGTATCAAGTGTCATCAGGCAGACAGATTCCACAGTGGAACAAGTTTGCTTGGTGTATCTGAGGAACATGTCATGCAGTTAACAACGTTTGTTTTACCAAAGTCCAAGTTGCTACAATGTCAACAGAACAACAAGGAGGATTGTATCTCTCAGGAGAGATATGAAGATGGAATGGTGACCAAGTTGATCCCTCCCACTGGAGATGCTTGCATTGATGAACACGAATGTTCTCAAGGAAGAAGTTGATACATGCTCTTCTAACGCCATGTACTGCAATGGGTGGTTTTGAAGAGGCATATCCAAGGAAGTATCATCATTAAGTCCCTAATACAGATGTTCTCATACTATATATCTGCTATTGTCCACAAATGGAGCATGTCCGTGAAAACTGGAGTGTCTTCCGAAGTCACGGACAAGCATCGGTTCATGTCCATAACATCTACCCATCTTCTTGGATCATCAATGTCATTTGCTTTGCCAGGATTTCATGCCTTTTACTGGCTGAGATACGTCATCAGCATTTCATTTCATGTTGGCAAGAAGACCAGTCTACAAGGCTAACTGATGAAAGACAAAGATCTGTTTTCAAGTCATCAAGTCTTATCTTCAGGGAAACCTTGATGCAGCAGTGGAGGTCTGCAGGCAATCTAACGTCAGCCTTGTATGACCCCAGGAAGAAGGTTGCTAAATCCACGTCACTCTTTGAATGACATGAGATTTCAACCCATGTCGACTAAGAGACATTGAACTTGCCAAACTTCCCCTCATTTTGCCTGGCCTAGGGTGAATGGATTGCTCAACCACACATTGTTTGAACATCAAACTGTTTCGGAAGTTCTTGACTGCCTTGTTTGCACTCTGCTGCAAAGTCCCCATGCTCCTCAGTGTGGTGCATTTTGTAGACAGAAAGCAATCTGCCTTATGTTGAACTGTGTCCTTGCAAGCAAGGACAGGGCGGACAGAATTGCACTAACCCCATGAATGATCTTGGTAGAAGATAACCAGTGACAATGAAGAATGACCTGTGTAATAATCTATAAATCTATTTGATGTAGTAACACTGAAGATTGTAAAGAGAATAAGAACTCTTTGAACTTAGTAAGAAAGCAAGCTTAGACTTTGATCTGATATGTAACTAAATCTGATCTGATGTATCCTCTAAACCTGAAATTGGACAGGAGTCCAGTATGGAATGCCTAGTCCAGTATAATTGATTTGAAATTCATATTTTGAGCTTATTCCTTTTCCAAGTTGTTAGTTATTACAATAACCAATAAGACATACTACGGCAGGAAACAAACCCATTTTTGGGGTGATTTGATCAAATTGAGAGGTATACATGATCTATATATCAAATTAAAGCTGAAGACCTATAGAATAATATTAGACATGATGTGGAAATATTCGCGTGGACACTTTCTGGTAAAACCGGATTTTGGGTCAAAAACACTAAAAATCATAATTTTCCAAATATCCTTATTAATTTTCTAACTATTGACCCCATTCAAACAAATTCACCATCAAATGAAAGGTTGCTCTCTGTACAATAGAAAAATAATAGTAATTGCAATATTTAGACATACAATTTTCATTGCATGATTGAAAATTTGGGTAAAAATGTAATTTACGGTCCTCCTTTTGTCAGGTATGATACAGTAGAAGAATAATAAATCTAATTGGTATAATTTCAAAATTACCTTTTAATCACTCATCACTATCATCATTACATGTAAAGATACATTAATATCTCTAAAATAGAACATTGTTAAAGATACTGAAATATAAGTGATATGTGTTAGGAACCAACAATCCTTCAAACTAGATTCACTTGCTGTTCTTTTTGTAAAGCAATAGTATGTCTTGTGTTAAAGGTTATTGTAATAACTAACAACTTGGAAAAAGGAATATGATTATTACACAGGTCATTCTTCATTGTCACTGGTTATCTTCACCAAGATCATTCATGGTGTTAGTGCAATTCTGTCCACGCTTGCAAGGACACAGTTCAATACAGATTGCTCTGTCTACAAATGCACCACACCGAGGAGCATGGGGACTTGCAGCAGGTGCAAACAAGGCAGTCAAGAACTTCCGAAGCAGTTTGATGTTCAAACAATGTGGGGTTGAGCAATCCATTCACCCTAGTCCAGGCAAAATCTTCAAGGTTACCAAACTCTGGTTTACCACAATGAGAACTTGTCCAGATGCTAGTTTGCGGCATCACACGCTTAACGCGCTGTCGAAAGCTGTCTTCGCATGAGGGAAGTTTGGCAAGCTCAATGTCTGTTGAAATCTCATGTCATTCAAAGAGTGACGTGGTTTAACCTTCTTCCTGGGGTCATACAAGGCTGACGTTAGATTGCCTGCAGACCTCCACTGCTGCATCAAGGTTTCCTGAAGATAAGACTTGATGACTTGAAAACAGATCTTTGTCTTTCATCTTTGTCTTTGTCTTCTTGCCAACATGAAAATAATGCTGATGACGTATCTCAGCCAGTAAAGGCATGGATTCCTGGCAAAGCAAATGACATTGATGATCCAAGAAGATCCGTGACTTCAGAAGACACTCCAGTTTTCACGGACATGCTCCATTTTACAACTGGACAATAGCAGATATATAGTATGAGAACATCTGTATCAGGGGACTTGATGATGATACTTCCTTGGGTATGCCTCTCTTCAAACTCACCATTGCAGTACATGGCGTTGAAGAGCATGCATGTATCAACTTCTTCTTGAGAACATTCAAGTGCATCAATGCAAGCATCACCAGTGGGAGGGATCAACTTGGTCACCATTCCATCTTCATATCTTCCTGAGAGATACAATCCTCCTTGTTGTTCTGTTGACATTGTAGCAACTTGGACTTTGGTACACAAAACGTTGTTAACTGTGACATGTTCTCAGATACACCAAGAAACTTGTTCCACTGTGGAATCTGTCTGCCTGATGACACTTGATACTTCTTGCCGGTGTTGAGGTCGGCCCTTCGTGAACGTTCTGCAGACTTAGTGGAGTTTCGATTGTCATACTGGTCGAACATATCTATGACAGTATCAGCCCTTGTGAAACACTGCTTCATATTTTGCATATAACTGTCAGCAACACTATCCAACGCGGAGGGAATGGCAGGTTTCATACTTATCAATATTGCCATTGTATCGCGAATGTGGACAGTGTCTTTTTGTCAAAGTCTGGTAAAGTGTCAATATTCTGTACAATTTCTTCTAATTTGTCTGTCAAATCGGCATTGGATGTCTTCCTCCTTGATCCATCTTCATTGAAAAGTAATGTAGGAACTGATCCTATGGGATGTGCGAGAACCTTGGCCATTGTGACATCATCACGACAATCTGTCAGACATAATGGTCTTCTAAAGACCATTTCTGCGTGCAAATGCACAAGTCGAACAGTCCCATCTTCACTAAGAAACATCTATGATAAAGCAAATCCTGACCACAAAGATCATTTCCAAACAACTGCACAAGTCTGGTAAAAACATCGTCTTGGCTCAATTGGGCAGTGATTGTAATTCTCCAGGTGATAAATTTGTTCGAGCACTAATTATGATGCAGTACTCGGCAGATGAATGTTTACTCTTTTGGACTTGGCCCCTTTAAGTCCATTTCTCTTTGAAGTTAACCTGAAATAAGGAAAGTTTCATCATTAAATCTTCTTACATTTATTAACAGTAGAACATATTTCATAAAGAGAGTGGGTGGTGGGGTAGTACAGTGGTTAAGACGTTCGCTCATCACGCTGAAGACATTGGTTTGATTCCCCACATGGGTACAGTGTGTGAAGTCCATTTCAGGTGTCCCCGCCGTGATAGTGCTGAAATGTTGCTAAAAAGCGGTGCAAAACTAAACTCACTCATAAAGAGAATTCCTTTCTTAAACATGAAGGTCATTATGATTTGGGTTAAGAGCAACATTTAAAGTAAATCCGTCTTACAAATAAAGGTAGGATTTTATCAATAAATAAGTCAATGTAGGTGTAACTTCTGTGATACTATATATAGAGATATATATATCTAAAAGGCTCATGAGAGAGTGATCTTTTGGACTTGTCCAAACTGCACTGGCTTTGGCTCCATTGCTTAAGTTTTCAGAAATATACCTGAATGAAAAAAAATTAAACTTGAAATCTTCAAAGATTTAAAATATATCATTGTTTCAGGGAGAAAACATTTCATGAAAAGAAATGCCCTTCTTAAACAAAAAATTTCATTTTGACACAACAAAATAAGAGCTTTTTGTTATGTTTAATATTCATTATAAAAACAAGTTAGGATCTCATCCCTGAATATATGTGACTGTATGCAGAAACTACTGTGAAATACATACATACCTAAAAGGTACGTGAAAATGTTCAATTTTGGACTTGACCTACCTTGACAGAATTGGGCACTTATGTATCTGTATAAGTTTAAGTTTAATCATTAAATTTGTTTACATTCGTAATGTACCAATAAAAACAAGAGAAAACTATTTCAAAAAGGGAAATGTCTTTTTAAAAATACAAGCTTTCATTATGATGCTACATGAAAATGATAGCAATTTTTTAAAAATATGTACATTGTATTTTAAAAAATCAAGATATTATTAATAAATAAAAGAATGTATGTGAAACTATTAAAGGTAAAAGTTTAACAAATAAAGAAATCTAATGCGCAGTTTTGAAAAAACCTTTGCAATCAATTTTCTTGTTATATTTTACCAAAAAAAATTCAAATATAAATTAAAAGGTATTTTAGTGAAAATAATTTTGGACAGCATGCACATATTGAATTATATCTATGTTTATAAATATAATTCAATCTAATAAAAAATTTTTTGAAGAAATTGTCCTGTCAAATTATAAGGTAGTGTTTATATTTTGGTGGAAAAAAAATACATATATAACAAAAATTATGTTTGGGGAAATTATATACGTTAAGAAAGAAATTATTTCATTTCTACATTTTTTTATAATCCACATATCTTCTTTAAAAATCACTTCAAAACATATTTATTGCTAAAATTGTTGTGTTTTTTAGTTGAGGATCACAATCGGGTAATATTAAGTTGTAGGGAAATATTGCTTACACTGACAATGCATTTTATACAGGGTGGCCCTCTCCAGGGTTTCAGAATGTTATCTGTACATTTTTTCAAAACTTCTTTGAAAAGAATCATCAAAAACCTAATAAAATCATAATTTTATAATATCTGAAAATATAATTGGACCAATAATGGAAAGATAAAGCATAAGATTCTCTGAATGGGATTTGATGAATATTTTCATCCTTAAAATGGCCTCTCAAGGAGTTTCATCAGTTAAAACTTTTAGAGTTAGTTATCTTGAAATCTGTCAATGAAACAGTTGACTTTAAACATGTAAAATGCCATGAAAATACCTTAGGATATCAGGTACAATAACAAATTACCTATTTTGAAATGCATTTCAACATTTTATCATCAAACAAGATTAGTGCATAACTAACCCACTGGTAATCTTCTGTCATTTCTATCATTGAAACATAAGGTTCTGTGGAAATGTACACAATTAGAAAACAACTTACCTCAATAATGATATTGAAGAAATCTGAAGACTTGTCAATGCTTCGAATGAAAATCTTTGGAAAAAGATTTAACAAGCTGTCAAGTTCCAAATGTCAACACTGCTAGGACAGGAAGTGGTCTCAGCAGACTGCAGGAAGTACTGGTAGTACTGTTTTCTTGATGACTCATTTTACGGCAGAGTTTCTCTACAGACTTTATTGGTGTGACATAAAAACGTTTTTATAAGAAAATGTCCACATAAATTTCACCACATCATTTTTTTTCTTAATGCTCAGATCACAAGCTTTCATTTCATGTATAGATTGTGTATACCTCTCTCAGATATCAAAAACAAATGGTTTTTGAAGGAATATCAGGTTTGTGTCCTGCCCTAATAAGGGGTCATAACTCCGACATGCTTAACACTAGGTCAATATAACTCTGAATACTTGAGAGAATTTTTGTGGATATTGACGCTATAGTTTCGTTATGGTTTGTTCACCATGAACCAAACTATACAAGTACAAAGTTCCACAATGTGAGCGGATATGTTTTGATAGTTGCACAATTCATAAGAAAAAGATGACAAAGTACTACATGAGAAAGCACGTAATAGCGATTTGGATGGCCCTATCTGATACATAATTTAGTTCTTAGATTCCCATATTCCCTTGTTAGTGTAGATGTATTTTGACTAATTTTGCAATATTATTAATAGAATACTAACCATATCTTCAAATGTAATGAAATTACTGAAAATAATACAACCACTGGATGCGGTTACATGCACCGTTTACCCCCTACTGGGGGTAAAATACCCCAGGGGCAAATGTGCCTCCAGGGGGTAAATTTCGTCATGTAAACGGTACATGCAGGGGGTAAATATTTACCCCATGGGGGGTATTGAGGCAAAATTTGCCCCAGGTCAAAAGGTAGGGCAAATCTGTTTACCTCCGGGGTAAATATACCCCTGGAGGTAAACATGTCATGTAAACGCTTTTTATATTTTTTCACGGGGGGCAAATGACAAATATCTAACACCCCTGTACAGAAAATGGACTCTTTTTTTCTTGGAAATCTATTTTTAGCACTTATGCAATAGGTTGCTTCATTACCAACACTCTTGTGCACTTTGAGAAGTGAAAATGCCACCAAAGAAGAAGTGCTCGCGGGGTAATTCGTGGTGCGATGATAGCACAAAGTGCCTTCTAAGTATTTGGAGTGATTTGAAAGCACAATCCCAACTGGATAGTCCCTCGAAAGCAGACAATGCTGTATACAGCAAAATCAGCAATGCTTTACATGACATGGGTTATGAGAGAACGAGGTTTCAGTGTAAGGAGAGGATGAAAACTCTCAAAAAGTCGTACAGACAATGCCGTGATGCACTGAAGAAAAGTGGACAATCACGCAGAACGTGTAAATTCTACAAGGAAATGAATGAAATACTGGAGATAAGGCCAGCCACCTCTCCTGGAAAGGTGATCCAGAGTCTTAAACCACCAGTATCAGATGCAGAAGACTCTGATGCTGCTGCTGATGGTGGTGATCCTGCTTCTGAGGAGATGGAAGATGTCATACCTCTGCTCGAGGGTGAGGATTTGGACATAGATGTCTCAGGAATCGAAAACAAGGATGATAAATCATATGCTGAACCACAAACAAAAGAAGAGGCAATAATCGAAACTAAAACAACAAAGCAGAAGGGAAAACAAAGAAAAAGCCGCTTTCAAGCATCTTTAGAGACTGTAATGGACAGATTCACTAAGTCAAATGAAAGTATTGAAGCGAGTCAAGTTGAATTAGAAAAGAAAAGGATTGAACTTGAAATGAAGAAAATACATGACGAGGCTCACAGGAGAGAGTTTGAACTGAAGAAACTTGACAGAGAGGAGAAACAGCGAACAGCAGACAGAGACCACCAACTGCGAATGCTCCAACTGATCATGAGTAGCAGACCACAGTTTCCTCTGCAGGCAGCTATGCTTCCAGGTCAAGCTTCAGTCCACCCAGTGCCATCTTACAGCCAGGGTTCGGGATGACTACAAGCAGCCAGTGCCCAGCACAAGCACTGCAACTCCACCAGGCGACCGCATATCAGATTACTCAGAGGTAGACATAACCCCCATCCAAGGTCCCAGGAGAACCCGTGGTAGTGTTACCCACAACACTGATGGCAGCAGTTTTTATAACCTGTGACTGACTTGCTCACTGAGTGTGAATTTTTTAGAAAACTGCTAAGAATGCAGTGTGTTTATGCAAGTTAGATTTTATTTCTGTTTGTTCCGAATGCAACTTAACTCTTGTTTTCAAATGAAGGCTGAAGTAATGTTTGGATAACAACTTAATTTAGCTATAGATTGAATTCTGGTAAACAAGGAATTCGTATGTTTCAAGCTGCGAAAGTCGTCTTTACCTATCCATTGTTTGACTGAATTGGGAAAATACTATCTATACAACTAATGGCAGCAGTTTTTTAATAATAATTTGTGACTGACTTTTTCACCTACTTTAATGTTTAAGAACAAATAATAACAGTGTTCTGTTTGCAGGTTGCAGTTTATTTCTTAAATTTAATCATGTTTGCAAAACAAAACTCTTGTTCTCAAGTCATGTATTGTTCTTTTAAAAGCTTCAAATAAAGAAATTTTTTGATGACATCTATTTGTTACTTGAATGAACAAGAATAGAGAAATCACTGTCTCAAATTTTCGTCAGAAAAGCTTCACTGTCTATCATTGGCAAACTGTGCAGTGAGTGCTTTCGAAGAGCTGATCCAGTGACTGGATCTGGATGAACTTGTTGTCCACACTCTCCTGCTCCAACATCTACGTCCTGCAGCCAGTCTGGGTCAAATAACTCGTGCTCATTTTCGCACATGTTGTGCAAGGCAACTGAAGCTGCAGTAAGTACTGGCACAAACTCCACATGCACATCAATGCGCTTAGAGAAACGTCTCCATCGCCCCTTAAAGCGGCCAAATGTGTTTTCAATAGTCATGCGTGCACTGCTCAGTCTGTAGTTGAAGTAAGATTGTTCTTCTGTGAGAGCCCCTCTGTTGCTATATGGTTTCAGTAGCCAAGGACACATAGGGTACGCAGGGTCTGCGATGATGACAACGGGCATATCCACTTTATGATCAGCAGGGCCTACACTGTCCATCATCTCTGCTGTTTGCGGTAATATCTCACCACTATCTGCCAAAGCCCTCAGCTTAGAGTTTGAGAACACCCGCGCATCGTGAACTCTACCTGGCCAGCCTATGCAGACATCAGTGAACCTGTACTTATCATCGCAAACAGCTTGCATGATAATTGAATAGAACCCTTTTCTATTCACATAATCAGAGTGGAACTGCTGCGGGGCCACAATTGGAATGTGTGTTGCATCTATAGCACCTCCACAATTTGGAAAGTTCCATTTCTGTTGGAACCCTGAAATAACTCTTTTAAGTTCTTCATCTTGAGGGAACTTGACCACAGCTGGGAATATGTGTGTGTAAATGGCATTACACACCTCATGCACAATGCAGCACACAGTGGACTTGTGTATTCCAAAAAGATTGGCGATGGTGCGATATTCTCCTGTTGTAGCGAGAAAATATACTGCAACTGCGACTCTGTGTTCAAGACAAAGAGCTTGGCGAATTCTGGATTGTTTTTCAAGATGTTGTCGCAGTTTTTGACAGAGAAGATTGAACATTGCCTTTGACATCCGGAAGTTCTCTCTCCACCGATCATCATCAAATGTCTGTACTGTCACTTCCCACCAGTGTCGACTTCTTTCTCGTTCCCATACACTTCGCTCACTGTGTAATGTGGATGTCACACATAACACCATAACTTGCAAAATTCTGTTTCTTCTCCTTTTCTTTGACAGCCGCCTGTACCTGTCCATGGTCAGATTGAAATGAGAATGATGAATACCCACCCCTGTCTTAAAACCCATGTAAACGCAAATTCTTTTGCCCTTTGCCCCTGGGGGTAAATTAGCCTACGGGGGGTAAAATACCCCGGGGGCAAATAGGTGTCATGTAAACGCAGCTTAATAACAGAAAGTAAGATTTTGAAAAGAAGTTTCCAGAAAATATGAACAATTTATATTTTCAAAGGTCTTCAAGCGCCTGCATAACCGATTTTTTGAAAACGATGCAAAATGTGTTTTGGACGTCTTCCGTCGAAGGACAGCGCGGTCGTCTAAAAAATAGCAACCAATGGGAAAATGACATAACATTGTCAATGTTGGCTTTTCGTAGGCCTTCTCAGCCATCGTCTCTTTGGCCTGTACCGGCTCGTATATTGCGTGATATGCGAGACGGGGCCCAGCTTAGCATGTGACCTAAACATGTTAGCAATATTTCCCTACAACTTAATATTACCCGATTGTGACCCTCAACTAAAAACACACACAAATTTTAGCAATAAATATGTTTTGAAGTGATTTTTAAGGAAGATATGTTGATTATAAAAATGTAAAAATGATAAAATTTCTTTCTTAACGTATATAATTTCCCCAAACATAATTTTTTTTTTATATGTATGATTGTTTCATCAAAATATAAACACTACCTTATAATTTGACAGGACATTTTCGTCAAAAATATTTATTAGATTTAATTATATTTATAAACATAGATATAATTCATTATGTGCATGCTGTCAAAAAATATTTTCACTAAAATACCTTTGAATTTTTATTTGAATTTTTTTAAAACTATAACAAAAACAGTGATTGCAAAGTTTTTTTCAAAACTGCGCATTAGATTTCTTTATTTGTTAAACTTTTACCTTTAATAGTTTCACATATATTCTTTTAATTATTAATATCTAGATTTTTTAAAATACAATGTACATATTTTTTTTTTAAAATTGCGATCATTTTCATGTAGCATCATAATGAAAGCTTGTATTTTTAAAAAAAGACATTTCCCTTTGTGAAATAGTTTTTCTCTTGTTTTTATTGATACATTACGAATTAAATTAATTTAGTGATTAAACTTAAACTTATACAGATACATAAGTGCCCAATTCTGTCAAGATAGGTCAAGTCCAAAATTGAAGATTTTCATGTACCTTTTAGGTATGTATGTATTTCACAGTAGTTATGCATTCAGTCACTTATTCAGTGATGAGATCCTAACTATTTTTTATAATGAATTTTAAACATAAAAAAAAATCTCTTATTTTGTTGTGTCAAAATGAAATTTTGTGTTTAAGAAGGGCATTTCGTTTCATGAAATGTTGCCCTCCCTGAAACAATGATATATATTTTAAATCTTTGAAGATTTCATGTTTAATTTTTTTTCATTCAGGTATATTTCTGAAAAACTTAAGCAATGTGGCCAAAGCCAGTGAAGTTAGGACAAGTCCAAAAAAGATCACTCTCTCATGAGCCTTTTAGATATATCTATATATCTATATATAGTATCACAGAAGTTACGCATAAATTGACATATTTATTGATAAAATCCTACCTTTATTTGTAAGACGGATTTACTTTAAATGTTGCTCTTAACCCAAATCATAATGACCTTTCATGTTTAAAAAAGGAATTCTCTTTATGAGTGAGTTTAGATTTACACCACTTTTAGCAACATTTCAGCAATATCACAGCGGCGGACACCTGAAATGGACTTCACACATTCTACCCCACCACCCACTCTCTTTATGAAATATGTTCTACTGTTAATAAATGTAAGAAGATTTAAGGATGAAGCTTTCCTTATTTCAGGTTAACTTCAAAGAGAAATGGACTTAAAGGGACCAAGTCCAAAAGAGTAAACATTCATCCGCCGAGTACTGCTTCATAATTAGTGCTCGAACAAATTTATCACCTGGAGAAATTACAATCACTGCCCAATTGAGCCAAGACGATGTTTTTACCAGACTTGTGCAATTGTTTGCAAATGATCTTTGTGGTCAGGATTTGCTTTATCATAGATGTTTCTTAGTGAAGATGGGACTGTTCGACTAGTGCATTTGCGCGCAGAAATGTTTTTTAGAAGACCATTATGTCTGACAGATTGTCATGATGATATCACAATGGCCAAGGTTCTCGCACACCCCATAGGATCAGTTCCTACATTACTTTTCAATGACGATGGATCAAGGCGGAAGACATCCAATGCCGATTTGACAGACAAATTAGAAGAAATTGTACAGAATGTTTACACTTTGCCAGACTTTGACAAAAAGACACTGTCCACATTTGCGATACAATGGCAATATTGGTAAGTATGAAACCTGCCATTCCCTCCGCGTTTGATAGTGTTGCTGACAGTTATATGCAAAATATGAAGCAGATACTGTCATAGATATGTTCGACCAGTATGACAATCGAAACTCCACTAAGTCGTTCCCGAAGAGCTGACCTCAACACCGGCAAGAAGTATCAAGTGTCATCAGGCAGACAGATTCCACAGTGGAACAAGTTTCTTGGTGTATCTGAGAACATGTCACGGTTAACAACGTTTTGTTTACCAAAGTCCAAGTTGCTACAATGTCAACAGAACAACAAGGAGGATTGTATCTCTCAGGAAGATATGAAGATGGAATGGTGACCAAGTTGATCCCTCCCACTGGAGATGCTTGCATTGATGAACACGAATGTTCTCAAGAAGAAGTTGATACATGCTCTTCAACGCCATGTACTGCAATGGTGAGTTTGAAGAGAGGCATACCAAAGGAAGTATCATCATTAAGTCCCTAATACAGATGTTCTCATACTATATATCTGCTATTGTCCACAAATGGAGCATGTCCGTGAAAACTGGAGTGTCTTCCGAAGTCACGGACAAGCATCGGTTCATGTCCATAACATCTGCCATCTTCTTGGATCATCAATGTCATTTGCTTTGCCAGGATTTCATGCCTTTACTGGCTGAGATACGTCATCAGCATTATTTCATGTTGGCAAGAAGACAGTCTACAAGGCTATGATGAAAGACAAAGATCTGTTTTCAAGTCATCAAGTCTTATCTTCAGGAAACCTTGATGCAGCAGTGGAGGTCTGCAGGCAATCTAACGTCAGCCTTGTATGACCCCAGGAAGAAGGTTAAACCACGTCACTCTTTGAATGACATGAGATTTCAACTATGTCGACTAAGAGACATTGAACTTGCCAAACTTCCCTCATTTTGCCTGGCCTAGGGTGAATGGATTGCTCAACCACACATTGTTTGAACATCAAACTGTTTCGGAAGTTCTTGACTGTCTTGTTTGCACCTGCTGCAAGTCCCCATGCTCCTCAGTGTGGTGCATTTGTAGACAGAGCAATCTGCCTTGTATTGAACTGTGTCCTTGCAAGCAAGGACAGGGCGGACAGAATTGCACTAACCCCATGAATGATCTTGGTGAAGATAACCAGTGACAATGAAGAATGACCTGTGTAATAATCATAAATCTATTCGATGTATAACATGAAGATTGTAAAATAGAACTTTGAACTTGAAGAAAGCAAGCAAACTTTGATCTGATATGTAACTAAATCTGATCTGATGTATCACTAAACTGAACCTGAAACAGTATGGAATGCCTGGTCAGTATAATTGATTGAAATTCATATTTGAGCTTATTCCTTTTCCAAGTTGTTAGTTATTGCAATAACCACAAGACATACTATTGCTTTACAAAAGAACAGCAAGTGAATCTAGTTTGAAGGATTGTTGGTTCCTAACACATTACACTTATAATTCAGTATCTTTATCAATGTTCTATTTTAGAGATATTAATGTATCTTTACCTGTAATGATGATAGTGATGAGTGATGAAAAGGTAATTTTGAAATTATACCAGTTAGATTTATTCTTCTTCTACTGTATCATACCTGGAAAAAAAAGGACTGAAAATTATTTTTTTTACCCAAATTTTCAATCATGCAATGAAACCTTTATGTCTAAATATTGCAATCACTATTATTTTTCTATTGTACAGAGAACAACCTTTCATTTGATGGTGAATTTGTGTGAATGGGGTCAATAGTTTAACACAAGGAAGCATACCGTAATTACCTGTATGTAGCACGTAGACCTGTACCTCAATTGCCTGTGTCTAACACAAGGAACCATACCGTAATTACCTGTATGTAGCACGTAGACCTGTACCTCAATTGCCTGTGTCTAACACAAGGAACCATACCGTAATTACCTGTATGTAGCACGTAGACCTGTACCTCAATTGCCTGTGTCTAACACAAGGAACCATACCGTAATTACCTGTATGTAGCACGTAGACCTGTACCTCAATTGCCTGTGTCTAACACAAGGAACCATACCGTAATTACCTGTATGTAGCACGTAGACCTGTACCTCAATTGCCTGTGTCTAACACAAAGAACCTGTATGTAGCACGTAGACCTGTACCCAGTTACAGCGAACTATAGAATTAGTGACAATATTCCATTGTACAAGTGAATGGTGCTACCTTTTCATACGACGTGACAATTCTGGTTGACTTCTGAACTGATCCATACACATAGTACTGGATGGCAGTAGCTTCGTTGGTCCAGTCGTAGTAGAAGTCAGCATTTACCTAAAATAAATAACTCAAGACGAATTATTTTACCGGGAAGCAGGAATATTTTCAGCGTATCATTTGTACAGTTGTAGCAGATACATTCCGGATGTAATTTCATTTATTATGTTCTATATATGAAAATACTGTAAACGAAAATTAATGCTTCGACTTTTGAAATGTTATCAGAACATACTTTACAAATGTTTCTTTTATAGAAAATACAACCGTTACTACTACTACTACTACTACTATTACTACTACTACTACTACTACTACTACTACTACTACTACTACTAACTACTACTGCTACTACTACCCGTGAAGATTCGGGTTGGAATTGGTCTTCAGGATCCCGTGCTTGTCGTAAGAGGCGACTAGTGGGATCAGGTGGTCAGGCTCCCTGACTTGGTTGACACGTGTCATAATATCCCAATTGCGATGAACAACAGACCAACCAACCATCCGGTTACAATTGGTCTTCAGCGACCCATGCTTGTCATACGAGGCGAATAACGGGATTGGATGATCGCTGACTTGGTTGACACATGTCATCATATCCCAAATGCGTTAAACAACAGACCAACCAACCAACCGGTTACAATTGGTCTTCAGCGACCCATGCTTATCGTACGAGGCGACTAACGGGATTGGATGATGGCTGACTTGGTTGACACATGTTAGCGTAGATCGATGCTCATTATCTGCATTGTCCAGTACAAACTCGATCTTTTACAGACTGTCGCCATAAAGTTGAAATATTCTTGAGTGCGGGGGAGGTGGGGTAGCCTAGTGGTTAAGGCGTTCGCTCGTCACGCCGAAGACCCGGGTTCGATTCCCCACATGGGTACAATGTGTTAAGCCCATTTCTGATGTCCCCCGCCGTGATATTGCAGGAATATTGCTAAACGCGGCGTAAAACCAAACTCACACACTCACTCACTCTTGAGTGTGCATCAAACAACAAACTGCTATTACTGCCACTAAGAATAGAAATTATCATTTGGGGTTCTTAAAAACTCGTACCACACAAAATACAATCTAATGTCACACAAATGTCGCTGTGATAAATGTGATCGTTTTGTACTTACGTTATTTCCTTGAATCGGTGCGCGAACATCAAACACTTTGGCTGACCAAACGTTTGCCATGCAGCAAGGTGTAGCTTGAGCCTTGACGGTCGCCAGGCAGGACAGAGTGACCAGAAGCAGCAGCATGTTGGACGTCAGACGTTAACTGCAGTGAATGGTTGTGATCAACAGGCCGCTAGTTTTATAGGGACTGGATACGTTTCTGCGACTGTGTACGTCCTTAACTGATGAAATCAGGAACAACGTTCTATCCGACCAATGTTAATTGATAGCGTTTCAGTGTCACGTTAGGTCACAGAATTGTGTGAAAAGTGAAACATATTTGAAATCTGTGAGCGCGAGTAAAAATTGACATGTATGTCACCTCAGGTGAGATTCTTGAGAGGCATTTTAGAAGTTGGTGAATATATAAGACGTTTTATATGTCGAATATGTCTCCTCTGGTTAGACAGTGTAGCCAACACATAACGGTTCCTCATTGCAAACACATGAGCATATTTGCTCGAGCAAACGGACGATATTAAGCTTATCTCTTGTCTATAGCATTATGTTTTCACGTTCCCTAGCGATTTAGTGCACATTTCGCAATAATTATCTACCTTGCGAAACATGAAACGTACTGAGGTATGTCTGCCCTTCGGACGACATTGTTTCTGAGGTCAAGGAAATTTAATGATACCCTCTCCCACAAGGAGACAGGTTTCCACTATCCACCCTACGCATATTAATTGTATATTTCGTCATTTCATCACTGTGCGGGGTTATACGTGTGGGTGACACGAACTGGTCAGTATTGAGACATCATGTTTGGACACTGTCCTTGACATACATTTTCTGTACAGATGTTCTAAAATCAAGCTCGATGGCCAAGATTAGCATTATTCTAATTTCAACTGTCCACCTCATACCATTACACTTCCACTGTGAAAACGACGTTGCTGAGGAACGCGACCGACGCTGATACGTTCTCCTGCTTGCCTGTTGACTCCAGCACGACCAGAGTTGTCTATATGAAACCTGGATTCACAAATTCTCAAGTTCTCAAAGCTCCTTTTTTATTTTTGAAAGATTTTATAAGATGAGTTGTGTTCTCTGATATATTGTGAAGCCACCTCATACCATAACACTATCACCCTGACAACGACGGTGCTGTCTGTAAAACGTTCCTACACCTCTTGCCTCATGTCAATATGAAACCCGGACTCATGAACAGTGTTCCGCTCCGTCTAATTTTCTGAACCTCACGTCCTGTCCTTACCGAACGCGGTGAGCCGGATGTTGTTCCGCTCCATAAGCTACTGCCACTGACTGGTTTCAAATCAGGAACTGCCAAACTGTTATTGTGGAAGAATCCGTATGTGCACCAATCGAATATAGTTGTCTTGTTGACGTGAAGCCACATGTGGTGGACTGGATCGTTGCAACTCATGGCTCAAGCCTTTCAGTAGAAATTGACTTAAAAAAGACGTTACTGTGATTTGATGACCATATTTCTGGTAATTTCGTTCTGCGCCATTCCTGTTTGTTCGAAGTTGATTGTCAACAAGTGTTATTCTTGGTTAAACAAAAGTGCCCTTTTAACCACCTGTTAACTTAACAACCATGCATTGTGTGCTGTCATATTCAGAACCTATGTCTCTAAGTATCATGCTCCCAGAAACACGAAAGCATCCACATGTGTTCTTTAAGTACGTTTAGTTTGCTGTTTCGTGTTATGTGTATGTTTATAGTTTATTTTACTGCAGGCATTTTCCCGACAAACATTGATTTGATTGCTCGGAGAGCGGAAGGTCGGTAGTTCGATCTTCTGGTCGTGTCATGCCAAATCTCATCAAAATATGGTACTGCCTGTTGCATTCCACAAATGTTTTTTTTTCGGATCTAACTGTATCTATGGTCACCACGGTTAGTAGCAAATTATGGGTTCAGGTTTTCCCTAAAATTATGTAGTGCCATATAAATTTGAGAAAACCAGATGTGACAGAAATGAACGTTGCTCTTTTCTTAAATTGCAAACGTTGAGGGCAACCATTTTTATTTTGTCAACCACATGGTGAAAATGCCATTTCATATCAAACAATTTCTGTGAATATAACGTATGTAAATATACTACGCAACCGCCCAAGACATACAGTCTCGATTTTCCGACGATAAAGATTCCAATGGACAAAATAGCTGTGAAAATGTATGTAAACAGAACACTGATAATCGGTAATGACATCAAAAGATAAAAGGGAAACACAATCTTTCCATTGGCAATGGTTTGGGCGTCGATGTATAATGTCCTCAGTACATATCCAGAACCAGTTCATCTTAAAATCGTTCTGACATGGTCCATTTGAACTCGTTCGTTAAATTTGAGATAACATTTCCGGCTGAATAAATATGTACATCTACCGTTAATTGGTCATTGTGTAGTAAAACCTTTAATTGACCACTCATAATTAGATGTTTTGCCAGACCAAACACGAATGTTTTAATACCACAGATTACAACATTCAAGCTATAGTATGTCCACTGCAATGACCTGGTATACTTGTAGGAACACTACAACATTATGTGATGGCGATAATCCTTACTTCCTTTTCTGTTCTCGGTTGTGACTACAGCGCTACACAAAAAACACAAAATGTGTGTGAAAAAGGACGCCGTCTATTCCAAATCCGTGCCTGCTACAAGGAGAGTTGACTCAATGTGTTATTGCTATTCAATAGTATTGATACAAAGCGTTTGCGAAAATAAATGTGCGTATCCTGTCCCACCCGCCACAATCCCATGCAAACGCATGTCAATTGTCCTCCTTAAAACACGGGAACATATAGATCAAATGAAAAATAGGGAATGTCATTGGACATACTTTGTTGTCACTGATGGGCCAAGTGTCTTCCACATGTCTGCCATAAAACGTCATGACACGACATGACCAGTTTCGTCCAATGGTTGGATTCATAAGAAACCTGTGCTTGGTGTTATAAAAACTACTCGCGCTGTCGTATGATGACACTTAAAACCTCCAACCATTTCTTCGCCTGGTAAGACAAGTGAACACTTCACACTCATGAAAAGCGTGCGTTTTTGTGTGTGTGCATGCATGCATGCATACATACATACATACATACATCCATCCATCCATCCATCCATCCATCCATCCATCCATCCATCCATACATACATCCATCCATCCATCCATCCATCCATCATCCATCCATACATACATACATACATACATACATACATACATACATACTACACTGAACTTACGATGCCATTGCCAGAAAGGGTACAGATTTTAGTGGTATTGTGCTTGTAATTGAAAACAGAACTTGCCATACTTATAAGTAGTATTTATTGATATAAAGATATTTGTATATTTTGTAAAGTCCAACAGACAACAATCGGGTCTACAAGATGAAGTGTGGCTGCCCACATTAACAGGAGAGGGGGACGTCGAAAGCAGCTGGATCCGTGATGCCTGTTTTATATCCGTTGAAGTATAGTTCTGTATCTGCAGCTGAGGAAAAACAGAATGTTTCATAGTAACTACAATCCATGTTGAGTGGAACATGATTTAAAGCAGAACAACAGGATATTCGATTTTGATTGGTCATTCCGAGGTTTCTAAAACTTAAAACTGGCACAAATCGAACCTCATGGTTTGGTGGTTACATCACCACAGTGGCATTACCTCCATCTTGTGCAGAGAATGATTTGATGCAAAACAACCCCATTCTACATCGTAATATAGATTATAAAATTACTCGATTTGATTGGTTAATCAGAGGTTTCTAATAATCTTTTGTTACATTTATGGTTTGGTGTTTGCATTACCGTGGTGGATAATATTTATTGCAATCTATTGTAAGTCTGCTGGTAACCTCACCCTTTCTTGAAAACGCATATTGTGTTTCCCTCCCGAAAGCAGCAAAAA